CAAAGCATACGAATGGACGTTGGATGATCCGGGATTTTTTGAATACCCCAACTGGAGGCAACGTAAGTTTTCATCCTCTAGCTAGGCTAGTTCGTATCCGCACCGTATGGACGCAGCAGCTTCATCGACTCACACGAGCCCTGGTTGTTCTTTCATTTGTTTTGCGGGCAGGCCAACGATTTGCGCTTGCCACCATCTACTTTGCCTTGAATGGACCCTCCTGGAGATTTGAGGACGAAAGCAACGACTGGCTGTCACATGACAAATCCGAATGCCAGTGGCAGCAATATGGGGACGATAACAGTCCCTGTCGAAAAGATACAGACGTCTTGGAACGGCTCATCTTGTACAATATCAAGCAGTTTCAAGGCAACCTACCTCCTGAGGTCAGACTGTTGTTTGGTCTGGAAGAAATCTCCATTTTGGAAATAACGACGACGAGCCTCTCTGTCAACCTGACCAGCTTTCTCCCGTGGGAGGATCTTGCCAACATGGAGGGCTTGAAACGGTTGGACCTTTCTAGCACCGACATGCACGGCTCCTTGATCCCTGGTCTCTCCATTGGACTGTTGACTTCTTTGGAAGAACTCAACTTGTCCGACGGATCCCTGAGCGGGACCATTCCCGAAGAGCTGTCTCTGTTGACCAACGCCAAGATCATTGACCTGCGAAACAATCAATTGCAAGGCAACGTTCCAGATGCATTCTGCTCCATGCCCAATCTAGTTGAATTGAGACTCGATAATAACTCGCTGGAAGGCGAGATTCCCACCTGCTTCCAATCGCTTCCCGACCTGATCTTCAGTCATGATGGTACTGAGTTGCTGATGCCATAGCAACCGACAAGCAAACAACTATTACAAGCAGCCAGCGAGGCCAAGCCTGACCTTGAACTCAAGGTCTGAAGCAGGTGCGGTACAGTACTTCCTTCTTCCCACCAGCCGCCTCGTTGGAACATACATCCAAAAACTAGTAGCAATAGATAGATGAACATAGTATAAGAGTAAGCCGACAGATGTCATCCGTGGTTTGCCTTCACTTCCAAAGGTGTATGTTTGAGGCTCGCCTACCGTACACCCCTACATGCCTGGTCCGATCCAAACAACATGCATCCGGGGACCCCTGGGGAGAATCTGACTACAGTCGTACGGTGCGGAACGATGGCCGTCTTTGCCCATGCACCTCCCTCGACTACCGGCACTTCTAAGCTTCCGATGATGCACCTCTACTGTCTCTTTGACTGGATCGCAACTATCAGTCGCAGCGAGCGCAAGATCTAGTTGCTTACTCACAGTAGCCAATGAGAGCCAATCACTGGATCAAGAACTCCCTTCTAGCTCCTTCCAATGTGTGTGACGGTGGGATCTGGCAATCTAGCTACTAGTAGCCAGCCCTTACTTCTCGTTGCAGCGGCTCTGACACAACAGCGCAAACGCTGGCCAGGCAACGGCAGATGGGAGATGGGAGTGATGCAATCGGGAGCATTTCTAACCGTTGCCTTTTTCCTCATCTTTGCGAAAGAAGCTAAAAAAATGAAGATGACGTGTGCAGATGCCTGCTCGATCAAATCCGATCGATTAGACAATATCCAGCAACAACAGTTTTCTGTGTGCCAATAGGAGTCTCACAACAAGAAGAGGAAAGATGAGGCAAGATAGGTCTGCTGTAGCTAGCTAGGATGTCGACGCAAGGCACAATTGCATCCTTTCTCGCTACTCCACCCTCCAACAAGCACGGGCTTACCACATACAACAGGAGCTAGCTAGAGCAACACGTTATATCTGTTCAACTAACTAAGAGCTGTCGAGAATGAGATTTGCAAGGCCGTTGGTTGTGTCTCTTGTGTGGTTGCCTACTCTGGTGTTGGGCCTGAGAGGAAGTCAATTGCAAAAGAAGAAGTCCATCGAAGAAGATGAACCTCGAAAACAAGAAGAAGACCTGCTTTTGGAAGATGCGGAACCATTCGAACGCACCCTCAAGGAAATACGAAATGAGGGAGCTGACTGTGTGGAGTACGACACGGTTCCATCGTTCATTATTGACCATCCATTAACGTCTCAATTCTGCGGTTCCTTCGAAAGCTGTAGCGGCTGTTGCCGCACGTACAGCTGGTTGTTCTGTGATCCTCACAACGCCTTTCCAGAGATTCCCTGTGTCTGTGAGAACAGTTGGCTAAACAGTGCTCAGGGAGATGAGGACGCGGACGAGGACGACACTGATGGCAAGGAACCGCTTCAAGTTCTTCTACCCACACCCACGATGCCACCAACGGCTGCGGAGACAAACGTTTCCTTCATCCTGGCTGTGGGGGGTGATAATGCCGTCGTGAGTTCCAATGCTACAAATTCCACAAGCAATAACGCTACAGACATTGTATCCATGGGAAATGAAGGGTACTTTACCATTGACCTAGTAGAGAACTCCAATATCACTACCATGAATGCCACAAACGCAACCAATCTCACAGACAGCAGCACCCTGGCAACAACAACAACCACGAGTGCACCATCCTCAGCCGCAACTACCATTCCCGCTTCCGCCGCACCCATTCCCACCCCTCTACCTGCTGGTGCCATCTCGCCCGATGCGTGCAGTGCAGGGTCGGCCATGGTAGATACCCTGGGTTTTGATAGCTTTTTCGAATGCAAAACATCGTTGGATTGTGCCAATCTCGTCCCGGTGGGACGATCCGGCATTGCGGATGAGAACGGAGTTGCCGCTCGCAAGAAGAATCGAGAAGACGACGAAGAAGAAGAGGACGAGGAGGATTTCACGGATAGCCTGGAAGGCGATGGTAGCGAGCAACTCATACTGAATGCGGAAGCAGCTCCTGTTCAGACATTTTGTTGCTTGGCCAGCATGTGTCTCTGTGGAGTCCCGCTGGGAGATTGGACTGGCAAGTGCGTTCCGCCCTACCTGGATCCAGCAAGCGCAACCACAGACGCTCCATTGGTTGCGGTGACGGACGCACCATCCAATGTTGTGGCAACAGAGCCGCCATCGAATCATCCCTCGTTGAGACCATCCGCAATGCCATCAGCCTTGGCTCCCGTAACACCCGATCCAACCACCAGCGAACCAACAGCAGAGCCGACTACGTTGCCCCCGGTTCCTGCTACTTTGCCTCCCGTTCCTGCTACGTTGCCCCCGGTTCCCGCCACTTTACCGCCAGTAGTCCCTGCTACTTTGCCACCCGTGCCTGCTACTTTGCCCCCGATTCCTGCTACTTTGCCCCCCGTTCTTGGAACTCAAGTCCCCGCAAGTAATGTCTCGTCCATCCCCACGAGCAATGTCTCATCCACGGCAGCTCCGGTGCCACTTCCAGCAGCCACCGTATCGCCCACGTTTCTTCAAGTTGCCGAACCTGCTACTACTTTGCCGCCAGTATCGGTAGAAGCCAGTCTGGAAGCACCGCACGCACCAACGCAAGCACCCACGCCGCAACCAACGGCGACAACAGCATGCAGCGATGGGAGCTGGTATCATGACGATCCCAACTTTTCCAACGATGAACTTTACAGACCGTGCGTCTCATCCAGTGACTGCGATGATACCAAAAATGAATGTTGCTTGTTAGACTTTTGCTTTTGTGGACGCGTTCCTAGTGGCGACAAGAGCATGTGTGTGTGAGAACATACATACAGGAACTGCGAGTTTCGATGGATGATACTTCCACCGGCACTTTCTTGTTGCCCATTCATGTTAGGAAGAGGAAGGCAACGACAATGATTCGGACAGCAGAAGACTGCTGTTCTACGATACTGTGTGTTTCGATGGTCCTCCTGTGTGGAATAGGATTTATGCCCGATGTCTGGGGTTTGTGTACATGATGATTGATTGAGAATAGAGTTTGACAAGGGCGTTGTGCAATAGGCTACAGCTAGAGATGATGAGGCGATGATGATCCCAGCGGAAGGTCTACAATACTGAAAAGAATGCAACTGGCTACAAAAGTAGTCTGGTAACAGCTGTTTTAGAGAAAGATTACCTCACGTAGCACTTGCAGTTTTTGTGAAACTGTGCTCTCAGTCCTCTTTCTTGTTCAATGCCACACTTCCCTCGTTCGCAAATTTCATCAATACTGGATCATGACCAAAGTATTGTTGCATGGCCGCCTCCCACTGTTGACTCATTTCTTTGGTAAAGAATTCGCCTCCTCTATCCAACCGTCCACCCTGTTCCTTGCTAATGTGGACTCCTTCCTGCACAAAGGGCCTACGTTTTTCATGAGGATATCCAAAAATGGCCTCGTACTTGAAGGTGCGCTGATTGTGGGCCGATGACATGTACTCGTGGCTGGTTTTGTCAAGGACCACTTGCATCAAATCGTCGTCGACTTGGACATTCAAAAATTGGGCTATGTCTTGGATGACTTGACGTGGATTGTGGCGCAAGTCCGCGAAATGGATCAGGAGAACATTGGACAGGTCCTTGACCTTCCACCATGCCAACAAGTGTCCAAAATACAAGTCTGGAACATCCTGAATGAAAAACTTGAGTGTGTCTTGCGGTGCCTTGAATTTGGGTGGGAATCCACCCCACATGGTCCGGAATTCTTCCGTGTGACCATTGATGAAGGGGTGAATAGAACGAACCACTTCTTTTCCATGTCGGACTATGGCAAGGTATTTGATGTTGGGATTCTTGGCTGGATCCAGTCCATACAGATGAGGAGCTGGGAATTGATGCGTAAAGTGTTGCATGTGTTGGATTCCTCGCTCTTGCATTCTCCTGCGCTTTTCTTGGACTTCTTGGAGGCGCTGTTCCATGGTGTGTTCCGGGTACATGAGAAATTCACAACTGCCGCCAGTGTCGGTCAAGCTGTCAAAATCGTCCCATCCACCGGAACGCAGTAGAAAGACAATGTTTTGCAACCAGAGAGTGCCCGCTTTGGCACCAGAAGAAACGATAACGTCACCATCCTGGACCTGTTGCTTAAAGTTGGATTCGTAGAGGCAGCCTTCATCAAAGTAAGGAGGAACAGGATTGCCAGTGATGGCCCAGAAAATAAAGCCGACTTGTGGGATACGGAGGAACACCCCCGGTTTGGTTTTGCCAATCACACCAATCGACACAGCCGTCAACAACACAATAGCCGAGGCCAACTGAACAAGCGACACCTTGGGCTTGCTACCAGCCTTTGGGCTCTCCTCTTTATTGTCAGTACCTTTATTACATATCTTTAACACAGAAACAACACGGGACGTTTGAATGGTACGGTACCGTACTTGTATGGCAGTCTCTCGCGGCAGTCTCTCTGCCCTTTGGTTGTCTGTTGACGCAAAAAGACATTCTTGGGGTCACCGCTCACGAGTGCGCACCGTACCAGTACCAGATCTGCACGGATTGAGGAAGGATGAATCTTCAACATGGCTCGAATGACCCAATCACCGGTACCGTACTGGTAGTGGCATTTAAGTTACAGTTCGTGTACGATGGGTTTTGCTCGTTCGCTCTCGTTGAGCTCCACACTACGGTACCAGGTACCGGTAGCATGTGTCGGGACTGCCAACCGCAGCAGCAGAATTGCAAAAGGATCCTTGAGGTTCTCTCTACTAGAGATCTACAAGCCGCCTGTGTTCTCAATCACAAGGTCTCCTAATATGGTTTGTTTCCGAACTCTTGGTCATGCTAGCATGTGTAAGTTTTTGTTTTTGTTTTTTTCTGGTGTTTTGGTGCTTCTTTTTCTTGTTTCTGGTTGCTCCTACTATAGTTCAGAGTGTTGTGGTCGTACATGTAGATGGTTCGATGAAAATAGTCTCGTGCAGAAGACAAAACTTGTTTGAAAACACTCTATAATCCTGCAAAAGCCAGGAGAAATCCAGAGAACAGCAAGGAAAAGTGGGTGTTGGCCACGTGCAATACAGTAGATGGCAACATCTCATCACTCTCAACATGGTCCATTGCAGATCCTCCTTGAGCATGTGTTTCAGCTTCTGGCATTCCAGCTTGAGTTTTCTCAATAGCATTGGTATCCACTCCACACTGTGGGCTATTGTCACCTGTGTGGAACTGGGAACCTAGAGTGCTGTTGTTTTGGATAAGTGTCTCATAAGCCAGGGCCTTCTTTCCAACACCAGTGCATAGCTCTTGGCCAGCAGAGACAGAGGCAGTGAAATGAAAGCCTCCCCACAGACGGCTTTGACTGCAATCTTCCCATAGGGTTGGCATGTCTGGAATGAACAAAAATTTGCATCACAACCACGTGTAGTGTGCACAATATGATTTGCTTCTTCTTGCAACCTAGCTACACTGTACCTTGAAACCTTCTGATCCATAGGCCAGGTATGTTTGTGAGGGTGGCTCCATCGAAATATGCCCTTGTGTAGGCGTCTGTAAATTGGGCATCTGTGTATTCGGCATATGCAGTGCAAAGTAGAGCTAAAGTAGTTGGTTGAGGTTGATGAAAAAAGCCATTCGTCGCCGACCCCAGTATCGGTCGTACCATACTTCACCACTTCACCCAATGATGAATGAATTATGGATCCAATCACTGGTACATCCTAACGTACACTGTAGTACTGTAGTACATGTAAGCGACCCTTTGATATGCAGACCTGGATTTTGAAGTACATGTTACATGGGATTTTACGTACCATAATCTATGCCCCCCCCGTAGCGCAGGATCGCCAAATCCTCATGGGAGGGGTACCCCTCCCCCTCCCATGGTGTGCAAGTGGCATGAAGCCTTTGGCCAAAGGGGGTACCCCCCCCTAAATCTTGCAGAGCCTAGAAAATCGATGTGTCCTTGCGTTGGAATCTAAGCTCAGACTTGTCTGCATCTGCTGGCAACCATAGTTGGTGCTGGAATCTGAATGCATGGTGCAGTCAATTATGATGATGATTGTGATGAGCCGTAAACTTTGACTTGCTAGGCAGGAAATTTCACCGAAAAGGATGCAACCTTCTAGCAAATTAAAATGGATGTCCAAGGGCTTTAGAGCTTCTGCAGGCTGTGGATGGGTAAGGATACAGTGGATGTTTGAACAAGCTACTATGACTTCAAGATACTAGTATGAAAGCTACTCATGACCTTTCCGGTACACAGTCTACGTATAAAGGCTACCCCTCCCCTTTCTGGTACATTGCCTACATGGGTCTACGTAGTGCAAGAAGCAAAGTCAAAGGGGCCAAAGGGGGGATACCTACCCCCTGATCCTGTAGGGGAGATGCCACCAGTCCTTTACATGTTAGCTAGAAATAGAGGGTTTAAAGAGCAGAACCCAGATTTTGAAGTACTGTAGAGGTCTACAAAAATACGGTAGTTCACATAACAGAACATAAAAGGATTGGTACAGAAAGTACAGTGGGACCGCTGTACCGCCATCTGCCCAACCGTACACTACCGCTGTAGAGCCGCTGTAGAGGCGATTAGCCAATCAGAATGGTTCCATCTTTAAATTTCGATGACGTCAGTCGGTTGTGCTGTGCCGTCAGTCGTGCATTCACGTCAGTCGTGCACACGATTCATCTCTGTGTCAGCTCGATCAGTCTCTCGTGGTGTTGTTTTCGTGTTGTTTTCGAAAGACCGACGGAGCATGCATCCAGAGGATTTCGCCAGAGGATTTCGAATTTGAGCGAGATAGTGAAGCAAGACACTAAAACCGAGGTCATCCCGTCCGTATTCAGTAGCCGCAGAGGTACTTCGCAGAGGTGTACTTACCGCATTCAGTAGCCGCAGAGGTACTTCGCAGAGGTGTACTTACCACCGCATTCAGTAGCCCCAGGAGCGTTCCTCAATCGTGTGTCCCGTTAAATCTGAAAAATAGGGGCGGATTTTTAGAATTAGGGGCGTTTCCTCTTTAGGGGCGGGTTTCGAAAACGCCCCTAATTAATAGGGGCGGTTTCGGGAATCTGCCCCTAAAATAGGGGCGTTTTGGCAATTTTGGGGCAGGTTTGGAAACTGCCCCTAAATGGAAACGGGACTGAATGGTAAATACATTGAAAACGCCCCTATTTTAGGGGCAGGTTTGGAAAACGCTCCTAATTATTAGGGGCAGTTTCGGGAATCCGCCCCTAAAATAGGGGCGTTTTGGCGATTTAGGGGCAGGTTTGGAAACCGCCCCTATGTTTTGTCATATTTAGGGGCAGATTCCCCGAAACGCCCCTATTTTAGGGGCGGATTTAAGATACTGGCACGACTGAGGAACGCTCCAGAGGTACTTCGCAGAGGTACTCACCGCAGCCGAGGATAGCCGCTTTCATCGCAATCCTCCGACGACGATGAGTGCGAGTACGAAAGAGGCGCCGGCTGGTATCGACCACTACATCCGGAACCTGTACTCCAGTGGACGGTTCCCCAAGGTGGACGACAACGGCATGGTGTTCTTGGCGGCTGTTGGCAAGATAGGACGTGCCTCTGTGAAAGCTAGGACTCCTCTAGTGGCGGGGAAATTGGATCAATATCTGCAGCGCCATTTCCCACAAGCTTCGCAGACATGAAGGGTTGGGCCAGGGTCCTGGGAAAGTCCATCCAAAAGACAAAGCCGAAGATGCAGGAGGCTCTGCTGCAGTGCTTTGAGGGCAAGCCAGAAGACCATGTGTTCCACTCCCACTAGCTAGCTAGCTTGGTGGTTGGGCCCCAAGGGGCCCAATCTTTATGGTTCAGAGCCCCCTGCGGGGGCTCAACCTTTATAGTACTAGCTTAAAAAAATTTCGTAATACCGTAGGTTTGAACACAGTACCAGTACCAGTTGCCGTATCTCATCGAATGATGGAATGAATTATGGATCGGATGACGCAACACTACACTGATAGTCCCAGGAGCCTTTGGCTAATTGTGTTCGCAGGAACGGCTCTCGTTGAGCTGGCGTAATAAATACTCGGTCCTAGCTAGCTAGATACGCAAATAGTCTACGGTATTATAATTTAAAAGAGGGTCTTAAGGAGCAAGGGGGGCTAAAAGCTTGGCAATGGGCATTTTAGGGCAGGGCAGCCGTGGTGGGTTGGGTGGTGGGGAATCACAGGGAGGAGGGGAGCAGGGCAAAAGGGGGCAAGGGGGGGGGAGAAGACAGGGGCGAAAGGAGGAGTAGAGGAGGGGAAGTCGGGAGTCCAGTCGGGAGGGAGTAAGAGGGGGGAAGATTAGCAGAAGAGGGCAAGTGCAGCCACCATCGGTATCCCAGAGGGAACACCAATAGCTCTTGTTCCAGCAGGGATGCAAGAGCCTCGAACACGAAGGTGGCGGACCCAAAGAATTGGGAGGCTGAGCCGAGCATTAACGTAGCCATGCACCACTGAGTAAGGGTGAGGGCAGGGAGCAGAGAGGAGAGAGGCTTGGCGAGTGGCATGGGACAGGTATTGGTGTGGGAAACCGAATGCAATACACGGCTCTTAGCCTTATTCGCGACTCGATCCTAGATAGGGTTTGAGTTCGACTCATGACTGAGTCTCTCTGAATAGTCATTTGAGACAGGGTTCTCAAGACCGCGCTAGCATACTAGGTTGATGATGAAACATCGCTCTATATTTAGCCAGCGTGGAGTACTTCCACGCTACTAGATCCAGGCTAGACAAACCTTCCACGCGTTCCGTTTTAGGATCGTGGAGAGACGTAGGATTACTACCACAACCTACTCTATCACACTTTTTAGTCTCCCGCGGGAAGCCAGAACTACGATCCTTTGATGATGATCTCTCTCGTTGATTAGTTTTCATAGCTTTTCTAATCTCTCTCATAACTTTCATTCTCTCAAACTCAAAACACTCGAAAGATCTTTACACTAGCTTTTAGCGTAGTGCATTTTGTTAACAAACCAATAGCTTTCAGCTACCCTCAAACTATTCCTTCACCATGAAGATGGCTCAAGGAAAGCATGGTTCCGCAACTTCGAGAAACAGTTGCGTGACAAACCCATTCTTCCTCTCGTCGACAATGACGAAGAACCGAGATCGACGATACTCGTGCACCACTTGCAAACTTCGCAACCATGTTGCCAAGCGCAAATCAGAAGACTCTGACAATGAGGACAACTCCTCTATCAATTTCAATCACTTGGATGAGAAATCTCTATCTGAGGATTAGGCCAGGATGATGACTCAACGGAACCCTGTCCGATTTCTCATACCAAAGTGATGAAGATATCTCACTAACTAGTAAACAAGAATTGTTTGCAACTGATGAACTCTACGGCAAATTAGATGATTGCTTAGAAGCTGCTCAACTAGACTCTGATGATCTTTTTAGCATCGTTAACCTCGTCCGTGGCAACCACCTCGTAAACGTCGCAAGACAAGAGACCTCAAACCCATCGTTTATTTAGATTTAACAAGCGAGAAAAAGGGAAACAAAAACGTTACACTCCGTTGCTTACTGGATACAGGAGCATCGGGAACCTTGATTGCTCAACCTCATGCTAAGAAATAACGCATGAAGGATCTTGGGGGCGTCCAAACAATGTGGACTACCCCTGCAGGAGAATTAAAAACACAGCACGAAGTGCAAAGGTGCATTCATGATTCTTGAATTCCACGAAGATAGAATTATCGAGTGGGACTTACACGTCACCAAGAGCTTGGGGCGTATGACATGATCATAGTTCGAGATATTCTCTCTGACTAGGTTTCAAGTTCGATTTCATCTACCATGTCAGTGGAATGGGACGGCGCATCTATTCTATGAAAGATAGCGACACCAATGAGAAGAAAACTTTTTCATTCCTGATCTGCCGCTGTCGATGACAGTGCAGATCGTCTCAAGAAGATTCTTGATGCGAAATACGAACAAGCTGACTTAGGCAGGTTTGCCAAAGTCAAGATAAGTAAACACGGAAGAGAAGGAACAGCTTCACTCCTTACTGCGAAGTACTCTGACCTATTCGATGGTACTTGGGAAAGTGGCAGATGGACGACTACGAAGTAGAACTTCTCCCTGATGCTAACCCTATCATGCAAGGGCTTACCCTATTCCACGGGTCCATACCAACACTCTTAAGATGGAGGTTGAACGTCTCTGCGAGGCAGGAGTACTCAAGAAGGTAAACCGTTCCGAGTGGGCGGCACCAACTTTCATCATTCCCAAAAAGACGGATCTGTACGATTCATCTCTGATTTCCGGGAACTGAACAAAAGGATTAGCGGAAGCCTTATCCTATCCCAAAAATACAGGACATGCTCTTGAATCTAGACGGATTCAAATACGCTACTAGTCTAGACCTGAACATGGGATACTATCA